TGACCTACATACACACACAAACACACACACACACACACACACACACACAGCGGCACACAGCATGAGGCACAGGAGGTAGATGAATAAGCAAAGAACCCACCTGTGTGTATATTCTTTGTCTTTAAACTCTTTCTGCCGGTCCAGACTGGTGTTGCACACCTAGAATCCCAGCACTTGGGAGGTAAATACAGGATGATTAGGAGTTCAAAGCCAGCCTCCCTACGTAGCAAGTCCAGCCTGAGGTACGTGAGAGCTAGCCTCATTAAATCAAAAAACAAAAGAAAAATGTTGGGAGTCAGTTGCCTAATAACATACTTGTAGATAAGAGGACACTGGATCCTAGGGTTAAAAAAAAAGTTTAAGTGTTTCTACAAAGCTCCTAGTGCTGTGTGTCCTCTGAGCCTCCCTCATTGCTGTTCCTTTGGCTGGAACTCCTTTCTCCAGAAAACATCTCACACCCTTCAGGTCTATGCTCACATGTCCCCACCCCACTGAGACTTTCTTGGACCAATCTACTAAAAGTCGGAGCCTTTGTATGTACATCCTTAATCCCAGCTCTCTGTGAGTTCCAGGCTAGCCCAAGTTTGCATGTTAAGACCCTGACACTGGATAAATATCGAGGCTTTCCGGCTACCTGTTACCCTCCCTGCTTTCAGTGTTCTGTGGCCCTTGACACCGCCTCACATGTCACAAACCAGTGTTATTTCAAAGTCTGTCTAACTCATTCTTCCCCTCTAGACTGAACCACATAAAACGGGCTTGTGTTCAGTTGCCACGTGCCTAGTACAAGGTAGATTCTGAGAAAATATTTGCCCAAGTAACAGATCCAGGTGACAGCCATGCAAAGGCAGAAGGTCTTGTCCAGCCCTGACCCCTGCTGGGTACACCCGCATATCTGTGTGGCTTGTGCTTCAGTTGCAGTCGGGCGGGGCCCAAAGCTCCTTCCCCCGAGCCTGTGCTGTTTCGTCATTGCTGTCTTCCTCCCAGGAGCAGGCCACAGAGGTGCTGACCCGATCCAGCCTGGAAGTGGAGTTGGCTGCCAAAGAGCGGGAGATCGCCCAGCTGGTGGACGATGTGCAGCGGCTCCAGGCCAGCCTCACCAAGCTTCGGGAGAACTCCGCCAGCCAGATCTCGCAGCTGGAGCAGCAGCTGAGCGCCAAGAACAGCACACTCAAAGTAAGGGCGTGGATGGGACGTGAGTGTGCGTGAGGTGGGGTTAGCAAACTGGCGCTCAGCAATTTTCGTGGCAACCTTGAACCCATGTCAGTTTTGAGCCAAGTCCTAGCTCCCTGGAACAGAGAAACTGAGTCTGACCTCCACTGCCCACCACCTCTGGCATTTCATTCTCAGTGTACCCCTCCCCTCCAGCAGAGAGGCCCCTGGTGCTGGGCAGATACCTGCCTGCTCCCGTCTGCCCATTGCCCCTCTTCACCCGCTGAGGCCTCCCAAGATTGCCACCTGGCAGTCCTGGGCACTCCTATGGACGGTGTGGTGGCCAGTCTCACAGTGAAGGCCACCACCGTAGGCTTGTGTCCTTAACAGAGCCCTGCTGGGCATCCCCCTTCTTCCTGTGCAGGGCCCCACTTCGCAAAACTCCGACAGCCGGGATCCACAGAAGACCTGTTGGAGCTCTGTAAGCTGACAGTCACTTCCTTGTCTCCCCAGTGTGTACCGAAGCCCAGTGGCCTGGAACTCAGTGTTGCCCCAACCCATAGAGCCCTATGCTGTCCCTTCTGTCCCAGATGGACTTCTAGGCCAGCGAGCAGATACTGGCTTCTAAGTCCTCTTAAGACCTTGTCCCTAACGCAGATCCCAGAACCTTTTACATGTACTAAATGATAGTAATTTACACTTCAAATTCCAGTCGAATCAAGTGTAGTTTAAAGACAGTTCTGGAATCCTAGATTGGTAGGTATCAGGGCCGGGAAGGACTCCTGGGAGGTGTGTTTGGCAGACTGAGGAGGCGAGACCAGCACCAGAGCAGGGTTCTGGCCAGGCTGGGGGCCTCCCGCCTTCCCCCAGGATTGTCACCCGAGGGTTACCTGCCCTTAGTGACTACCTGTGGCAGAAAATGAAGCAAGCCTAGCTAACTATGAAAAATGGTAGAGGCTAGGTTGAGATGGTTCAGGGGTAAAGAGCACTTGCTATGCAAGCATGAAGACCTGAGTTCAAATCCCCAGCACCCATGAAAACACCCTGGCATGGTTAGACATGTGCCTATAAACCCCATTGCTGTGAGGAGCAGAGACAAGAGGATTGCTGGGACTTTCTGGCTGTTAGCCTAAGTTTGCCTCAGTGAGAGACTATCTCAGGGGCATATGGCAGAGAATGAAGAGCAGGACAGTCAGTGTCCTCTTTGCATCTGTGCACACACACATGTATGTATGTGGACTAAAACATGAACCTGTACTCCCAGCCATTGGAGAGGCTGAGGTGGCAGGAGGGCCTAGGAGTTTCAGGCCGCCCTTGACTGCTACAAGGGGAAGGAGGGGAGGCCAGCTGTTTTCTTACAGGAAGTGATTCTAGTGGAACGTGGTGGTCCTTACCGTTCCAGCTCTTAGAGAGCAGCCTGTGAGGTCTAGACCGACCGAGGCTACACTCAATTCCACGTTGTGCTTTGAGACCCTATGGGGACCCGGTAACAGAGCGGGCGCAGCTGCCGGCCAGTGAGCCCCGGTATCTGCCTGTTCTACCTCCTGCACTAGGATCAAAGGTGTGCCAGCCAGCGTGCCCAGCTTTCTTACCTGGCTTTCGAGTCCTCACACTTACGCTGCAGGCGCTTCACTGACTGAGCCGTCTCGTCTCCCCAGCCCTTTTTTTTTTTTCTTCCCTGCTACATGGATGATGCCAGCGATACCACAGTTCTGCCAGGCTGGCTTCTCCTCTGCTTCTTTAGCAGAGGTCTCTTCCACTTGCTCAGAGAGTACCTGTGCCCAGGTGGCCCTGGGCTTGCGTAGGTGGCCCACAGGCCAGCATTTCCTCCTGTCAGCTTGCCGGCCGGCAAGGGTGAAGACTCAGGTTGCTGTCTCTGCCTGGTGTGATTGGGTATCATCATCACAGCTGATGGTGGCAGCAGCATTTGACCATGTGTTTGTATCTCCTCCGTCGCGCTCAGGGCTTGACTCAAACACATCCTGTCCTTGGCTCTGGCAGAGCTACAAGCTGTCAGCCCTCCAGTTCTCCTACAGAGCGATTCCTTCTAAATCAGTTAAAGCTCTAATTTTTGCCTTTACACACACACGAAATGAAACAGAGTTGCACAAATTAATGTTCTTATCATGTCTTCAGGGAATTCTTTAATACTGCACAGTTAATGAAACAGTCCCACAATGCTTCTTTCCAAAATCACCCTTCCCTTCCCTTCCTTTCGTCTAATCTAATAATCAAAACATATCCTCTAGTAACGAGACTTCTGATTTTAATTATCTTAACCCCTTGTTGCCAAGAATAAAGATGGCTCCTGTACATATCAAAGCCAAACACAGAAGGCCTCAGAGGCCACCAGATGGCCAAATCCCCCTCCTATACCCTACAGGGGTAAAGTTGATTGAATGGGGTATCTTCTCAGAGTTTGCTTTTTTATTTTGAGTGTGTGTGTGTGTGTGTGTGTGTGTGTGTGTGTGTGTGTGTGTGTGTTTAAGACAGGATTTTACTAGATAGCCTTGGCTGGCCTGGAGTGCCAAGTAGACTAGGCTGGCTTTGAACTCACAAATAGATACCCACTTCGGCCTCCTAAATGCTGAGATTAAAGGTATATGCCACTATGTTCAGCTATAGCTGCTGCTGCTGCTGCTGCTGCTGCTGCTGCTGCTGCTGCTGCTTCCTCTCCTTCTTCTTCTTCTTCTTCTTCTTCTTCTTCTTCTTCTTCTTCTTCTCCTTCTCCTTCTTCTTCTTCTTCTTAATGTGCATAATTTATAGTCTTTCACTTAAACTAAATGTATACACAATCATTAGGGAGATATTGTAGGGATAAAGGCCTGTCACCCTCTCAGCCTATCACCTGATGCTTCTACTGTGAGGAGCCCTGACTTTACAATCACAGCTCCTGTAACACCACAAGCTACAAAATCACGGTTTGTTTTACCCTACTGTGCCTTTCTCCTTCTTCTCCTCTTTCTCTTGTGAGACAGGGTACCAGCTTGACCTGGGATTCCCTGTGTGGCCAGGGCTGGCCTTGAATTCCTGATCCTCCTGCCTCAGCCTCCCAAGGGCATGCATCACCACACCCACTTATTGTGGGTTTTTCTTTCCGGTTTCTCTTTTCTCCATCACCTTTTCATTTTTTCCTTTTTGGACCATATTTCTTCAGCTTTAGGGGCATTCCAGAATATGTGCTGGGGGACTGGAATCAGGGTGCAGCCTGGGAGGTGCCCTGGTAACAGTCACTTCGAGAGCAAATCCTAAGCATCGGAGGCCTTCATAGTTGAAACAGGGTTCTCACTGGTCTTGCTCGTTCTGTAGCCGATTATGGCCTTGAACATCTGCCTCGCCTCTGCTCGCTAAGATGACAAGCATACTTCACTGTGCCCTGCTCATGTGCTAGGGATGGGTCCAGAGGTCTCTCCACCAGCTGAACCACACCCAGCACAGAGACTGAGTCTTCATCCTGATGAGATTGTTGGTTTTTTTCACCAACAGAGTTTGCTGGTGCTGTCTGTGATTGAGCAGCCCAGGCAACTCATTAATTGCTTCTCCTGCACCAGCATGCCGAAACTGCCCCATCCTTCCTCCACCACGAGGTTTCATGTTTACAAGTCCCTGCTCGTACACAAACGTCACGGAGAGCTCATCAGCACCCGAGCTCCTCACCCTTAGACAGCTGTGGGAACCAGCCTGTGCGTGAGAGCTGTGTTCCTGCCTAGTCTGACAGGCGCTCAGAAGCACCAGGCCATTTGTGGCAGATGATCCGAGTTCCAATTCATGAAGTAAGCCAGCTGCCGTGGCAGGCAGCTCTCTTTGATAACTTGTGTCATGGCTTTGTCAGAGCACTCTTCATGGAGAAGCATTGCAATTAGCCACTCACCTACACTGTCCTCGCTCTGCCGTGGAGAATGTCACTAGTACCGTCAGTTAAAGATGGGAACGGCTAGCTTGTCTCCCCTGGGGTGGCCCAGCAGGCAGAGTGGTCCCCAGCATTGCAGAACTGGTGTGCCGGTGCATGCCTGCAGTCTCAGCACCCTGGAGGTAGGCGCAGGAGGGTCAGAAAGTTGAGGACATCCTTGGGTATAGAGCAAGTTCAGGGCCAGCCTGGGCTCCATGAGACCCTATTTCAAAACAGAGCTGAGCGAAGATTAATTAGGCATTCAATTTATAAAGATACTGTCACAAACCAGGAAGTTGGCTTAGCGGGTAGAGGACCGGCCAGACAGCATGTGTTTAACCTAGTTGCCTGGAACATTCAGAGCCACTCCTGTCTAAGGAGACTGCATGGAACTCTGGGGCTAGGACTAGGCCAAAGGGACCCTGAAAGTGGAGAAAAGCCTTGTTAGGCTCCCTCTTCCAAGTTCCTAGCACTTTGTCTCCCCAGAATGAAATATGTCACTGAAGTTTACAAGAGAGCTGCAAGGGTCTTCTCTGAAACATGAAATTTCAGTGGAAGCGGTTTAATTCCTGCTGAGCACAGCCATACCTAACGAACCCAGGCTGGCTAGGTGGCTCCCTGGGTAATGACACTTGCAAACCTGGCGACCTGAGTTCACACTGGACCCACACAAAGCTCAAAGAACCACCTCCACAGGCATTGTACTCTGACCACACGAGCAATGCTGTGCACACCCACATAATGATAATAGAAAATTGGTGATGACGAATAAATAAAATGTGCAGTTTCAGGCTGCTGAGATGGCTCAGCAGGTGAAGTGCTTGCCACACAAATCTGGCAACCTAAGTTCATGCCCCAGGCCCACATAAAGATGGAAGAGAAGAACAGACTCCTCACACATGTCCTTCATCTTCACATAGGTACCATGGTACATGGGCCCCCACACATACGTTGTGCACACAAATACACAAGCACAATTACAGTAAATAACAATAAAACACAGACTGTGGTCATGACAACATTTGTTCTTTGAAGCAAGACCTCATGTAGCCCCCACTAGCTTCAAGCTAGTTCTGTAACTGAGAAGGACCTTGAACCTGCGCCTCCCCTGACTGCTTCCTGGGATTCCAGGTGTGTACAGCTGTGCCTGGTCTGTGTGCTGCGAGGACTGGGACCCAGAGCTCCGAGCTCAGGAGCAGCAAGCAAGCGCTGCGCCGGCTGAGCGACTTGCCAGCCTTTTCCTTTGCCGGGCGCATCACATGGCAACCAAGTGTATAGTGCCCTCGGCCGTAGCAAGAATCTCAACCTGGCGATGAGAGGAGGCCTAGAGGAGTCTCGCAGCAGTTCTTGCCTCGCAGGCCACTCTCCCCCCTGCTGCTGCTCTCATATTGTGGAGGAGAAACACACCAGCTTCCCCAGAGATGTCCAGTTTGTGAGACACAGGCTGGACCTCATGCTGGTGGGCCTTCTGAGGCTGTGACCACCACATCTTTGTCCCTCTCTCTGCCTTCCCCCCTGCTTTCTGCCATTCTGCAGAGGTGACGACGTGTGTGCTCGCTCACACCTGGCCTCCTTGAAACAGATAACGTTTTCCAGGGTGGGCGATACATTGGCGCTTCCTGCTCTTTGACTGTCGGGAGAGGAATGAGATAATCACTTCTTCGCGTTTGATGGGAAAATAAGTGCCCACTACCCTCCATCTGAGTATCCCTGAGAAAACCATTATAATTTATAAAGTTAGCAAGAGATATTTAAAAGGGAACAAGGTGGAGTAATTTTCTGGGATGGGAAGCACATAAGAAATTTGTCAGCAGTGAAAGAAAATGAGCTGAGTGGATGAGAGAAAGCCACTGTGTGCTTGGAACTGTGGGTAGGTTCTGATACAGATGCTAGTTCTGAGGCTGATGGGCCAAGTACGCCTTTTCTCCTCAAGTTATAGCCTCAACCAGAACCTAAAGAGACACCTAGAGGCTCCGTAGATAGTGAGGTGCTCACTGCTGAGGCCCTGGAATTGTTCCTCTCACACTTGGAAACAGGCTGACCCACCAGAACCGAGCCCTGCAGACTCCTGGAATACTTAAGCATATCATCACTCTAGAAATATGCTGCCTTGCCCCAGAGGTCAGTGGGGCCAGTCCCTGTCAGTCAGAGCCATTACCACAGAATGAAAACAGCTTACAGTGAGCCACACCACAGAACTGGCCCTACTCGCTAGATTCTAGTGTCTGAGTCCCCGAGTGCATATGCTTACTTCCTGGTGCCTGTTTATCCCTCCTCTGAATAGCTGAGGGATGGCTCCACTGAAAAATGCAATTTTACCTGTATTCTCCAGACCGTCAAACATATTTGCTCAAAAACCACATGATGCCTTTGAAATGTTAGAAACAAGGCATTGCTTCCATTTACTGGTATTTTATACACAGTGGGATTTTTTTTTTTTTTACCTCTGTGAAGCTTTTCCCTTCTACTATCACTGAGTTTTACACTAAAACCTCCGCTTGTGTGTCTACATACGTGTGTGTGTGTGTGTGTGTGTGTGTGTGTGTGTGTGTGTGTGTGTGCACGCGCGCACGCGCGCATGTACGCTCAAACCAGGTCATAGGAACAGAAGAGAAAAGTTGGCTCCCACATTGTTGGTTCCCTGAATGCAGGATCTCGTATGGATTGTTGCCAGTGGAGTCTGACAACCTCCTTTAAGACATGGCTACTAATTAAAAACCTTTTGTTTTCAGCAACTGGAAGAAAAGCTCAAAGGCCAGGCTGACTATGAAGAGGTGAAGAAAGAGCTGAAGTAAGTACAGAGCAGCACGGGCTCCTAAGACTGTCTCCTGACGGGAGAAGTGGCACCCGAGGCCGAGCCACCCAGCACTTTAGCTGCTCTCACTCAAGCCTCTTGCAGGGATCTTTTGGCTGGCAGTTTATTGGCTGTTTGGCTGGTTGGTTTTGTGATTGGGTCTCATGTAGCCTACACTGGCCCAAAGCTCCATATACAGCTAAAGAGGATCTTGAATTCCTGATCTTCCTGCCTCTGCCTCCCAAGTGCTAAGATGACTGGCCTGTACTGCCACATCTGATTTGTATGGCACGAGGGCTGGAAACCAAAGCCTTGTGAGTGCTGCGAAAGCTGTCTACCCGCTGAGCCACAGCCAGCCTTCTGTGGGCTTCATCAGGTACTCCAGCACACATGGACTCAGCAAATGCTGCTCTTGAAGTCAGTGTACAGTCTGAGCCTGCCCCTTTCTCATGTGTAAATCCCTGAGCGGAAACACAGTGGAGGAAGTAGACATTCTCCCATTGAAGGCTCAGGAACTCACAGCCCCGGCTGCCCAGACTCAGGACCGCTGCCTTCTTCCAGATTCCATTTCCTGCCACAAGCCAGTCTTCCTCAGTGCGAATGCCTGGCCCCTTCCACCTCTGACTCCTCCCTCTGAGCCGGAGCTCCCAAACCTTGTCCTAGCCCTCTGTCCCTTAGTCTGTCCCTTCCCAGCTCAGTTGACCCCGTCCTTGCACCGCCACGTGCAGTGCACGCTCCCTTTCACCCGCTGGCGGGCTCCAGCCCTGGCTTCACACTCTATTCTTTTCTTTTTAATAATTTATTAAAAATGATGGCTCAGTGAACACAGTGAGCGGTGTAAGCATGAAGACAGCGAGCTCCCTCCCTGTCACCACAGGAAAGACCAGGCAGGGCACCGTTTACCTACAATCCAAGTGCTGGGGAAGCCGAGTCAGGAGGCTCCTTGTGCCTTGCTGACCAGCCAGTCTACAGGAGATACTCAGCATGGACCTCTGGCCTCCACACTGCATGTGTACACACATGTGAATATGTACACACACACACAGAGCATAAGAATATGAGATCCATGAGCCTGATCTGTTTGTAGCTCCTGCCTTATTCACACAGTCCAGAGCCCCAGTGATATGGACACAACCTGTATCAGTTGCTAAGGAGACAGTGAAGCAATGTTTTGCTCCTCAAGACATCTGGGCCTGCACAGGGCTGTTCTCTGGATTCTGAGCCACCCCTGTCACTTTCCTCATTCCTAAGCAAGTGCCAGTTCCCAGAGAGCAGTGGTCATGGTGAGGAGTTCTCCTCCTGCCCTCCCCCCATAGAACTTTCCATCTCCTCTAAGCTTTGCAAATCCATTCGGCTTGCAGCAAAGTGATGTCTGTTTTACGCTGTAAAATGAATCTGAGCAGACCTGGTGTGACTCATATGGAGTGATTTACATGCTGGGTGAAAAAACCTTTTGCTAACCAACTGCTAGTTGAAGAGTGGTTCTTCTAGAGGCATTATCAAAGTCAGTTCCTGCCAGGGAAGTTGTTAAAGTTGTCAGTTCCCCAGTGCCTGCAGAACAGGAACCAGAGTGTTAAGGCCGTTGATAGCCGATAGTCAAGGGAGAGGCTGAAGGTAACTGTATGTCTTGCCTTTTTCAGCACCCTGAAGTCCATGGAATTTGCGCCGTCGGAGGGAGCAGGGACACAGGTATACCAGCTCGCTTTGTCTCCCGGGTGGTGACAGCAGCTGTGGTCACTGCCGGCCCCTGAGGCCTGCATCTGCATCTCCACATTGATAAGAGGGGCCCTCAATTATGTCAGCAGCTGAGCCTGGTACTCACCTGTAAGGCCAGCACTTGGGGGTAAAGACAAAAATGTCAGGTGTTTGAGGCCAGCTTCAATATACCATGAGATACTGTCTCCATAATAAAAAGAAAATGGAGACCGGGAAAGGGTGGGCTGATCCTTGTTGGGCCTGGGATTCTGTTGGTAGGTGCCCTGGCTCCCTCTCCAGCACTGACAGAATGACTGGGCCATGGTTGCATAGGGCCTTAATCCCAGGACTCTGTAGAGACCGGTGGACAAAAGTTCAAGGTCAACCTTGACTACTTTGAGGCTAGCCTTGGGTTCGTGAGACCATCTTTAAAAGCAATAATAAGACTTGACCAACTGAAGGCAAATCATCTTCAATAAAGACAGGCTAGTATTCACCAAGCTGCTGAGTCAGCGCTGGGGATGCTGACTGAAACCACAGATGAAATATACCACAGGCTGGATATGGTGAAGCCTTTAAATCCAACACCTGGCAGGCAGCTCTCTGTGAGTTCTAGGACAGCCAGAACGACTTGGATCTAAAAAATAATAATGCTGATAGTTTCTGGGCCTGGGTTAACAATTCAGTGGTAGTGTGCATATTCAGTATATGTGAAACCTTGGGTTCAATCCCAGCACCAAAAACATCAGCAAATAATTGAGGTTGTGTTAAAGATCAACCAAAAAAAAAGAAAAAAAGATTGGCCTGGAATTATTGTGTACTGCCTTTTGGCATTGGCTCAGGGGACAGGGCCACTCTGTCATCCAGTAGCCAATTAAAATTTACATTTCTAGCCTTGCATGGTGGCACAGAGCTGTAACACCAGTGCTCAGGAATAGAGGCTGGAAGATCTGGAATTCAGAGCTGATGTGGGCTACGTAGCATATCCGAAGCAGGTCTCAACTATGTGAGACCGAGTTTACATACACACAGTATGTTTGCAGATGCTGTGAAGCCGAAAGCGACAGTGCATCCGGAGCCCAGATACTGGAAAGCTGAGGCAGGGTGATCACTTGAGCCCGGAACTCTGAGGCTAGCTGAGGCAACAAAGCAAAACAAAAAGTTTTCTAAAAAACAAAAATCGGTTCCTTGCTGCTTTCTGACAGGGTCAGCAGCTTATCCTGTTGCCAAATGATGTCCACTAGACCACTAGAATTGGGGAACAGCAGAAAAAATAATTGCCAGCTAGAATGGTGGCTCGGCAGTTAACGTCTTTGTCGTGCCTGAGGTTAGGGGTTCAGATCCCCAGAACCCTCTGTGTAAATGCGGGTGGGTGTGACGCCCGCCTGAAATCCTAGCCATGAAAGGAAGAGACAGGGGACTCCCCCAAGCACGCTGGCTAGTGAAACTGGCTGTACCAGCCAGCGCCTCAGAGAATAAGGTAAGTGATTGAGGGTTTGCCTGAGACCAACCCTGGGGCCGCATGCGTGTGTACCCACACACGGTGCGCACACACACAAGTCCACAAAGAAGACACACTTTTCAGCTAAGTCCTTTTTGTCAGGAACCTGAGGTTTTCCCTTGGGGAAGTCAAGTCAGTGGTGCGTGTTGCAGGGTCATGGAAGCCGAGCTAGGGTGGTGGGTTCCAGGTGCCCCTTGGTGACCCTGCTCTGCCTTGTGCAGGACTCAGCCAAGCCCCTGGAGGTCTTACTCCTCGAGAAGAACCGCTCGCTGCAGTCCGAGAACGCCACGCTGCGCATCTCCAACAGTGACCTGAGCGGTAGGTGGCCGGGCTTCACGCCTTGCACTTGGTTTGCTTCGAGGGGTCAACAAGGAGGGTGACCCTTGCGTCTGGGCTTGTGTGTGCATGACGGGCGCGCCGCTGGGTGAGCAAAGACGTGTTGAACTCACCCTGCGTGTTTGCTGCCCTCCCTCACTGCTCTGCCCCACCCGTCCTGCAGCCACATGCGTGTGCGCCACAGCAAATGGACAGGGTCAGCTGGGGACCTATTGAGAGGGGCCAGGAGGGGCTCCTGAGGGTGTTGGTTTTCCCGAGCTCTTCCTAGTTGTACTGTGAACAGGCCAGGGGTAAAAGCAAGCATGGCCTCCCTCTGGGGACTCTCCAGGGTGTGCCGTGAGAGGTCGCCGGCCTTCCTGTGGTGTTTTCTTTCTCCATAAGGTTTTCTCTGGGGACACTGTCCCTCCCTATGCCTAGTCTCTCATTTGCTCTTCCTAAAATGGCGGAGTCACTGACTGCTTGTGGATTTAGCAGCTGATCAAAGTGTGTAACTGTCTTCGGACTCCAGTGACTTTGCAGTTCTTAACATGTGTGCGCCTTCGCTCGAGGGGACTCGGTGGGTACCTCTGCCTCAGAGCATGTGGTGTGAGCGACCCCACTGGTTCCCAGAAGTCAGTGTTTGCTGGTCAGGCAGGGCCCTCGGGCTAACTGTGATGCTAGAGTCCCCACCATCTGTCACCTCTTTCCCTCGTGTGTTACCAGAACCTTGTTAAGGGGATTCTCCCGGCTGCAACGTACAAGAAAGGTGCAAACACGAATGCATGTGGCTTGTTTTGGGGGCCTCGTTTGGCTGATTCACAAATTCAATCGAGAAACAAACCAACACACCACTTTGGCCCTTGTTTTAAAAAAAAAAAAAAAAAAAAAAAAAAAAAAAAAAATTTTTTTTTTAAAAGAAAACAAAAATCTGCACTTTTTTTTTTGTGGGGCACACTTTGCATTCTGGTCTTGGTTTTTTTTTCCCTTTTGAATCCCCCATAATGCATTCTGTTTGCCCTTCCTTGTAGGGTCAGCCAGGAGAAAAGGGAGAGACCAGCCTGAGAGTCGGCGCCCGGGACCCTTGCCGGCCTCCCCTCCTCCTCAGCTGCCCGGCAACACAGGGGCACAGGTTTCCAATACTAACGGTACACACCACTTCTCACCAGCGGGGTTAAGTCAAGACTTTTTCAGCTCAAACCTGGCCAGCCCCAGCCTACCGCTGGCTTCTACAGGAAAGTTTGCACTAAACTCTCTTCTCCAGCGACAGCTAATGCAGTCCTTCTACTCCAAGGCCATTCAGGAAGCCGGAAGCACAAGCACGATTTTTTCAACAGGTCCCTACAGCACAAACTCCATATCTTCCCCAAGTCCTTTACAACAAAGCCCAGATGTAAATGGGATGGCCCCATCTCCCAGCCAGTCAGAAAGTGCTGGGAGCGCCTCAGAGGGTGAGGAAATTGACACAGCAGAAATCGCCCGGCAGGTCAAAGAGCAGCTGATCAAGCACAACATTGGACAGCGTATTTTCGGACATTACGTCTTGGGACTGTCTCAGGGGTCTGTGAGTGAGATTCTGGCCCGGCCGAAGCCCTGGAACAAGCTGACTGTCCGTGGCAAGGAGCCATTCCACAAAATGAAGCAGTTCTTGTCTGATGAGCAGAACATCCTGGCACTTCGCAGTATCCAAGGCAGACAGAGAGGTGAGACATGACCATGTGTGCCTGGTGCGGCACTGTGTGCGTGTGTGCAGGTGTGTGTGTGTGTGTGTGTGTGTGTGTGTGTGTGTGTGTGTGTGTG